CCCCAAAACCCCAAAACCCCAAAACCCCAAAACCCCTACCTATTAATATAAATTGGTTCTTGCAATAAAAATGGCATCAGTAAAAACAATGGGTCTCCTCTGTGTACTAGGAGGAGTTATCATGCACTTGTATCTTGGATGCTTCTACCTCTGGGGTAATATTCAAGTCTATATTACTTCTTATTTGCACAAGCATGATCCGAGCATTAGTCTTGATGATACAGGTATAGTTTTTGTGATTCAAACTGTTGCTCAAGCTTTCTGAATGCCAATAGCACCTGCAATGATTCAATATCTTCCTCCATGGTGCACATGACTTATTGGAGGAATTATTGGAATTGGAGGAGTTTTCGCATCCTCTTTTGTATCAAATTTTTATGCATTTGTTGTTTTATATCCTATTCTTTTCGGAGTGGCCATTGGATTCTCCTACATGGCTCCAGTTATTTGCGGATGGGAGTTCTTTCCAAAATGGAAAGGAGCTGTTAGTGGAGTCATAGTTGCTGGCTTTGGATTTGGCTCCTTCATATTTGGATTCATATCAATAGCCATTGCAAATCCTGATGGAGAAAAACCTGATCATCCAGTACCAGGAGGAAAGATTTTTTCACCAACAAGCCCAGTCTCTTCTAACGCCCCAAAAATGATCAGAATCAATGCTGCAATCTGGGCTGGTCTTTTATTCATTTCATTGTTTATGATGAATAAAAAGAAAAAGGCACAGGTCCCTCATGGAATACTTGATACTCCTTCCGATAGTGAAAGGAAAATCAATAGAAGTGATGACCCTCGTCTTACCCAGACTTCAAGAAGAGGACAAAATAATATAGAAATCTATGAGCCTCATTTATCCGAAGCCTTTAGAGATTATAGACTTTACTACATTTGGGTATTAATACTCCTTTCTTCAAGTTATCCATACTTTATTGCAGCAAATTTCAAAACTTATGAAGAAATCGATCTTCATGATGATAGATTCATTACCCTAGTTGGTTCTCTTGGGGCTGTCACTAATGGATTATCCAGAGGAGTCTGGGCTACACTTCAAGATCTATTCGGATTCAAAATTGTATTCATGTGACTCTTAACTCTTGAAATAATAGTCTCCTTCTCTTTTGTAGCAATTCACAAAATTAAAGTCTTGTATCTCATATGGGTCTTGGTTTCTTTTTCAACCCTCGGAGGTCACTTTTCGATGATCCCAACACTTTGAGCAAAGATATTTGGTCCAAACACTGGAGGAAAAGCGTTCTCATTCATCTTCACAGGATTTGCTGGGGCTACACTGATGGGCTGGGCATTATCAAAGCTCACTAGTAATGGCAAAATAAGCTATGATATTCTTTTCTACATCCTTGGCTCATTAAGTGTCATTTCACTAATAATGGTCTTCTTTTTGAAAGATCACACCAAAGTCCGAACTCAAACTACTTCATTTAAAGATAGCAAGTATTCGCAAGGAGGTGAAGACCACAAAGAACTATTAGGTTAGAACAAGATCCTCAGAAATTATATCGATTACTAGTATTAATTCAATATTTCAGGGCTCAGATGGGGTTTTGGGGTTTTGGGGTTTTGGGGTTTTGGGG